TCTGAAGACTGTCTCCCAATCCACTCTCTAAACGCTGGGAGGAGTGAGGAAGCAGACAGGCACCCTTTTCACTGGCCAACAGTTAACTGAAAGTTCAAATTTTGCACTTTCCCTGCCTCCTACGTGGTTTTTTTTAGTTCTTAACTCAAATCTAAGTATGTAAGTCAAGTCAATATTTTCCTATGAGAGTGGTTCTTAAGTCAAAATGTTCTTAACTCAAGCCGTTCTTAAGTTAAGACCCCACTGTATAGTTTTCTCAAGAGAACAAGCTGGTCATCACAAACACTCTTTTCCAACAACACAAGAGGCGACTCTACACATGGACATCACCAGATGGGCAATACTGAAATCAGATTGATTATATTCTCTACAGCCAAAGATGGAGAAGCTCTGTATAGTCAGCAAAAACAAGAGCGGAACTAATTGTGGCTCTGATCATCACGTTCTTATAGCAAAATGCAAATTTAAACTGAAGAAAGTAGGAAAAACCACTGGACTAGTCAGGTATAATCTAAACCAAATCCCTTATGAATACACAGTGGAAGTGAATAACAGATTTAAGGAACTAAATTTGGTGAACAGAGTGCCTGAAGAACTATGGATGGAGGCTCGTAACATTGTACAGGAAGCAGCAACAAAAACCATCCCAAAGAAAAGTAATAAATGCTAGAAAGCAAAGTGGCTGTCCAACGAGGCCTTACAAATAGCAGAAAAGAGAAAGGAAACAAAATGCAAGGGAGATAGGGAAAGTTAGAGAAAATTGAAGACAGACTTCCAAAGAATAGCAAGGAGAGACAAGACGGCCTTCTTAAATGAACAGTGCAAAGATATAGAGGAAAATAATAGAAAGGAAAAAACCAGAGATCTGTTCAGGAAAATTGGAGATATTAAAGGAACATTTTGTGCAAAGATGGACATGATAAAGGACAAAATGGTAGGGACCTCACAGAAGCAGAAAATATCAAGAAGAGGTGGCAAGAATACACAGAGAAATTATACCAGAAAGATCTG